TTTTGATGCTGATTGCTGTTGACCTCCACACAGATTTGAGAGTAATGAAAGCTTGTCTTGCTTTTCCGATTCTGGCTTTGATGTCCTCGTCAGTTCCGCCTGTAGTTGAGACGATGCTTCCCAGGTAGGTGAAGGAGGTTGTTTCTTTCAGGTTCTTCCCATTTATGCTTATTGTGGTCTGTTGGTGTTGTTGATGTTGGCTAGGAATCTTCATTATCTCTGTTTTATCTATGTTCACCTGAAGTCCTATCTTTGATGCTTCTTCTGCCAACTTGTTACTTTTCATTTGCATATCTTCCAGTTTATGGGAAATCAGACATATATCATCGGCGAAATCCAGATCCTCCAAGTCTTTTGTGTCAGTCCATTTTATGCCTGTTCCCTCGTTGGTTGCCGTTGTCTGTCGCATTATCCAATCAATTGCAATCAGGAAGATCATTGGTGATAGTAGACAGCCTTGCCTCACTCCCGTCCTCACTTTGAAGGCTTCCGTAAGTTTCCCGTTGTGGATGTTCACGGACGTGCCAGACTCATCATCAGTTGGTAAATTCAAGAGAAGGTCAGACCATCAGGCGAAAACAGCTACTTTATGCTCATCCATCTGAGAAGTAGACGAGTTCTAAACGGTTGGAATGACACCAGAAATATCCTACTTATTCTTAAATACTTCACTGTTTTGTTCTGATCTCTTTGTTACTTCTGTCCTTGTCAGTCTCTTTCTTATGCTCTCACGATCTTGTCTGTTTTACACCCAATCCTCATGCGCTACCTTCTATTTTTTTGGAAAGGGGCATTCATTCTCTCAATTCTCTTTCAACTCATTTAATGTCACTTTCTGTAGAATGTTTGTTGATCTAGCTAGAGGCTTAATCAACTGGACGAAAGTTTTAAGTCACAGCAGTGCTACTGTTCTGCTACAAACCATGTATCTCCCCCCCTTCGCATTGCAAGCTGCCAGAAAACCTAGAATCGTTCTGAAACAACAAGACACGATCACGATCAAGAAATAAAAATGGTTTTTACAAGCTAGTTAAAAAGTTATGAGATAATTAAACTTTTCTGCTGTGTTCATATTTCAAAAGATTCGGTCAGATCTTTCTACATCAATCAGCATTAGAGCACCTTTAAAACGAAGTCAAATCTACCTTTATTCACAAGTTTTCGTGATCTAATTTGGTGCTATTCACACCAGTCTTTTTGAATAACCTATTTTTTGTAGGCTTCACCTTCAGATCATTTCACCGTTTGTATTTAAAGTTCATTTATTTCACCCAAGTCCTTCGTGTTGAGGTATTGTCATACTGGTCATTACAGTTTGCATACAACTGGTTTCCATTTGGTTAATGTATCAGTTGTAACAGCTTATCAATGATGAGATAGATGGAATAAGTGATTTGTGTGATTTGATAGACTGTGTAAACTACCTGCTCATAAATTTTCAAGTTAATAAACCACCAAATATAGATTGGAAATATAGTACAATAGGTGGTTTAGACAAAGGATACATATATTTTTAAGTCATATGACCTTGTTTTTATGTGAACACATACGAACTGCCTCCAACGCCTTTTTGCATCTTTCCATTGTGGTTTCAATACGCATATTCCTTGAATAATTTGTGATAAAGCCAAATCCGTTAGATACGTTCTATACCTTTCTCTTTGGATAATGTCTACCTTTTATTTTACTCAAATATACTGCTCACTTGGGGGAGATTTCCTTAGTGACTAAGTCTTTGTAATTTGTCTTCCGTCATCAGTACTTACAGATTAGGAAGAGTACTCTGAATTATTGAGCACATAGGTAAATTACTTTAATTAAGAGCTGGTAAAGTGTAGCTTATCAACAACTCTACCAATAATTTACACATCTATTAGGAAAATGAATAAATGTTCGTACAGATAGTTAGGTGGTGTCTGTTGCCGACAAACTTGATAGTCACGTTTTCAGGTATGTCCTGTAATAACCTTAATGGCCAATTTAGCAGTCACTGGGTCTGTTCATGCCACAGAAAGAAGCATAATGATGAAGACTTCTCAATATTCTACGGGGGATATAAGCGTGTACAGTGTCAAATAGTCGAAAAGTATTTTAATGGTTTGTCTGGATGAAATACACTCATGAATAAGGAGGAGTGGTTCTATTGCGTAACAATGCTAACTGTAGCGTCATAGTTAGTTGCTATAGTGGTTAAATGACGTGTCATATTTTCTGTGTGCTTTTTAGGCAACAGTAGACAATGGACACCAACTTCAGATAACCTTGAAACAGCCAATCAGATTCCTCTAGGCGAAAAGTGGTACTTGATTTACAAAGAAGTAAATCTACGATATATGTAATAAAAATGAATCATACAGAGTATTCGTCTCTAATATGCTGCAGAAACTGGTCACAGGTTCTCATACAAGTGGTTATAGACATATCAAACCATTGTATTCTCTATTTCTCCAGATGTAGCAGATACTGGTTGCATACACGCAATATATTAACCAAGGGAGAGTTTTGATTTCGAGAAGAAAGTGTCTAAAAAAATCACCGATTATGTACGAATTACCAACTTATACAGACTTCCTCATATGAAGTGGTTGCATCTGAATGTAAAGCCATCAGAAGCCCGGCAATACTTTTCCAGAGTCATTATCCCTCCACTACATTTGCATGTTTTATTCCTCCCTATAAATACACTTTCTATAGAGGAGTTAAAAGCCAAATCTAGGAGAGATTTTCAACGAGGATTATGACTAGCAACCGTTTGTGTAATGCTGAGGTATCTGATTGGTCAAATCAAGGTCGGTGGCACAGTGGTTAGGATTCTCGCCCACCATGCACATGGTCCGGGGTTCAAGCTCACGCCGACGCACACCTGATATCCACGGTCGGCCTGCGAAATTTGGGCTACCGATATCCACGCTGAGAATTCCATACTTGTACCAAAAATACAGTGTGGAATCAAGCTGTAATCAAAAATAAAATAAATTTGACTTTGGTATCTATTGTTTACTCTTGCCACCTTTTAGATGGAACTTTGCATTAAAAAGATTCAATTTTTCTGACGTACATATTATTGGCGGCAATATATTTTTCAACTGCGTTACATATGTTCCACCATCATCATAAATTGTTACTTGATACTAATATCTACACAATGTGATGGATTAAGGAAAGGCAATAGCTTCAAGAATTAAACGCAAATTGTTGATTAATTTTCATGAAATCATGCTGGTTGGAGTATTCCAGCCTATTTATTGAAACGTCCTAATACCCACCAGATAAAGCAGATGGCGCCACTTCAAAAGAAGGATATTTGATATAATCACTTAATAAAGAGGTATTTGTGATTTGGGTGTCTTTTGACTTAAATGTTTTGTCCATAATGTAATAGATAGATTCACCATAGAAACCTTCACTGATGATTATTCACACTTGGTTGAAACTCACTCTTAACAGACTACATTGTATACAGGGTAATAATATTAACCAGTTACCCAAGATGAATAAGATGAAGAGCGTTGATATAAGAATAAAGATGAGCGATTGAAAACGTGGGATGTTTGGTTAAAAAAATCAAGAACTTGGGTAAACGAGACACACTGTCTTGTTATTTCAGAATAGTATTATTCTGCCTTTGTTCCTTTATTTTGTTCACGTCTTCTTAACATTGCAACTTAAGCTGATGTACTGTTTTCGCCAGCTTCTATGATGATGATCCACCAGTCGGTATTCACAGGTCATGATGAACTTAATCCCGTGCAGACACACAGATCATAAAACTTCAGTACAGGCGAGTGTTATAAATCCGCCTACTTTGTTAATGATGAGATATTTCAAGCACCCAACAAATATGTGTGAAATATATACAGAATAGAAGTCACTTCAGAAAACATCAGTTAGCATGATATACAAAATAATACTGTCGAATTCATGTACAAGTGTCTGTCGTCGTATAACATTAAATCATACATTTCAACATCTCATAAGTATCCTACGATTATGTCGACTGGTGTAAATAACGTGCGTCGGTGGTTTGACGGTAGAACGCTTGCCAACCACGAATGTGGTCTGGGGTTCAATCCCCCATCGACGCCATACTTCTAAACCTCGTTAAGCCCGGTAATAAGATCCGTTAAATAGAGGGCAGGTTGGACGCGGGGCTAGCAACCCCACCCCGTAAAGCTTAAATACCACTACTTTGAAAAATGCATAGCTCTAGCTTGAAGCCATATGTTTTGCCGCCAGGAACGTAAAGCAATAAAGTAAAATAATTCTAAAGAGCACCTCATAAAGTAAATGGAGTTTCGTATTATAATCATGATAGTAATAATTATTAGGCTTTTAAGTTTCTGTAAGTTTAGTTGATTCGCGTTTCTCTTCGTCACTTATCTATATGTGTTAGAACAATCGTCAAGAAATCATAAACCACTAGAAGACTGTTTATTAACAAATTCAAAAGGTCAAGCCAAACTGTGTCGGTGGCACAGCGGTTAGGACTCTCGCCGATCATGTTTATGGTCTGAAGCTCGATCCCCAGCTGACGCACTACCAATATCACATGCTGAAAATTCCATACTTGTACCAAAAATACCGTTTGGAGTCAAGCTATACTCAAATAAATAACTAAATAAACGACCTGTTGCTCGGCCGTTGTCTTCTGTTGTTACAGCAGTTGTAGTGTGATGAGAGTTAGCTGTTAGTAAAAATTGGTGAACAGTAATTTACGTCAATGTTTATGTCCTCAATATTGGTCGTGAGAGAAATGAAAACAAAGGCTTTGCGTAGGCGGATACAGTTAACACATAGATGATCTGTTGCCCGGCCCTTGTCTTCTGTTGTTACAATAGTTGTAGTATAGAAACATTTCAATTATAAGTACACACAAACATACAAATTATTCTATTTATAAAAGACAATTAACAATGAAAGCTGTAATAACAATAATAAAAATAATAACAAATAGCAAAATAAAACAGTATGAATAAAATAGTCTATTTAATCTAGACCTGTTAATCAACTATCCTTCTTTCACAATTTCTTATAATTTCTAATAATTCATTGAATTTTATTGGCTCTAAATAAATGAAAAGCAAATTTAAGGTTAACAATAACATTAGAAACTTATTAATAATTATAATAATGGTAATATAAACTGCTAGTTTGGGCCACTTCAATCAGTGTGTGCGTGTTTTTGTAAATTTACCTACTCCTGTGGAGTTAGTTATATTTTTGCTGTACAAAGCGTACACTTTCCAAATACATTTCTGAATAATATCCGGCATGGTTGACAAAAGAACAATGCAAGATAGTTAGTTACTAGTTCATTCCTGGAGCACTTGGTGAACTCAAGCCATGCAGCTCCACCAGAGTCATCTTTCAAGATTATCTACAAGCTGAGACTAAATGATACAAAGGGCATTGGGTCTTGGCATTTATGTATAACAGAGGTGTGGAAATTTGTCAATACAACTCCGAAGTCTGTATACAGAAAACGTTTATCCAGTTTCTTATTCTACCATGGTCTTAACCTCTTCACTAGTTCTTCCCTGCATATTTTTAATTTTTAAAGGTTATTTTGCTTTTACTTTAATAATTAATTCACTATTATCACTCTGATATTTTCCTTTTATATACACTTTCTCACTTTGTTCACACTTTTAAATGGAAAATCAACTACCACCTTTCATCTCATTCAATAACAATTTCAACCTTATCAGAATTTCTAACGCTTTCTTCCTTTGTGCCGTTGAGTATTGATTAATGTATAACTTTTATGTTTACTTTTGAAGCCACTTCTAAGTAATTATATATCAATTGTGTCAAGCCCCTCTCCCTATTGCTCAATAATGAGCTACTATACATTTTTGGTAAGCAGAAATACATTTGTATGACAGCCTCTGAAGATGACTTTGTTGATAAAGAAAATTTTCTTCAAGTGTTGATTTGTAGGGATTTGGTTGATTGGTTACAGGATCTCATCATAAGCTGACATTAGTTAGAGAACCATTGGAAAACCTACAGGGAGTACTGGACAGCTGTTTCGTCCTAGTTAGACACTCTTCATCAGAACGCACTCACTGGAGTTCGAACCCAGGACCTTCTTCACTGAATTGTCTTTTATTTTCTTGATGGTAAAAAGCGATTCTAGGCAACAGTGTACCGTTTTACTATCTTTGTATGAGTAAATTAAATTAAGAAATAATGGAGTATGGAGCAATTTGATGGATAGTGACTAGCAGTGGCGAATACAAAACAGTGTTCATTTCGTCTTATTTGAGGCTATCTCGTCATCTAGATGTACTTGAATTCCACAGTGAGTGATGCTAGGACACTATATTCATCAATATACTTCAATTTAAATAATCAAACATTATCAAATTATCTGCATAAGGAGTTGATATGTCAACTTGAGGCCGAGCACTTCGGTCCAATCAATCAATCAATCAATGAGAAAGTTAATAGTAAATTAAATAATAGAGTATGTTTGTATTTCACTCTTAGATTTGTATTTCATCAGTGCTTATATTGTAGTGAGAGCTATCTGATAGCCAAAATTGGTAGACAGTAATTCACGTCAATGTTTACGTCCCATATCTTGGTCATGAGAATAAAAAACCAAGAACAAAGACTAACTCAACAAACAATAACAGTAGACTTTGCGTGGACGGATGCGATTCGCAGATATATGGCTTAACTTTTTAAGAAACGTTCACAAGCAGTACAGAATAACGGTCAGCAAGGAAACAACCAATCAGAAGACGTTGCTTCTCCGCTAATAATATTGACTAATAATGTATATATAAATATCTGTTGATTTCCTCAATAAACGATCTGTTGCCCATCCTTTGTCTTCTGTCGTTGCAATATTACTTCGTAACAAACTACTCAATGTCATCTTATGAGATAGAGTTCCTGGAGTTATAGTGAGACGTCATGATCTGTAGGGTTTACTTGTGGTGAGAGCAGGCTGCTAGCCAATTGGTAGACATCAATCTACGTCAATGTCTAGGTCACTAATATTGGCCGTGAGAAAATATGAACAAAGACTGATTCAACAACCAATCACAGCAAACTTAACGTGGGCAAATATGATTCGCAGATAGATGGCTCCACTTTTCGATGTTACCCGAAACAACCAATCAGATGCCTGCGTTTGTCTGCTTAACTTCCGAGAAACAACCAATCAGAAGACTGCGTTTGTCTACTTGCATAAGGTATAATAATGTACAGGAAATATATATAAATCCGTGTTGATTTCCGTAATAAAACGATCTGTTGCCGGCCCTTGTCTTCTGTTGTTACATACTAAGTGAGGTTTGGGGGGCAGATAATTGTTTATGGCATTGTCTGGTGGTCCCTCCCTCTCTCTCTATATATATATATATATATATATATATCTGCAACCTTGAAGGAACCCACGTTCCTTCGAACCTGCGTCACCCAGTGCTGCAGTCAGAGATGTTACCACTCAGCTTTTCGGGCTCGCGATTGACCTCCTCATAACATTATACAGCACCATTTCTTCTATAAGCCACTCAAAACTGGATAAATACCCTGTTGATGTCACCTCCAACTGCGTTTATGAATTTACATGCACTTGCGGGAGCAAGTACATTGGAAGGAATGAAAGAAGCGCTTCTATCCGGTTTTCTGAACATATTCCCAAAAACCTGTGCCTGAAAGGAAGCAAATATTCTCAGAGTGCAATTACCAGACACATTGTTGATACCGGACATCTCGTAGAGATTTCTAAGTCCTTCAAAATATTAAATAGACAAAAGACAGCAAATTTACTACGATTTGCAGAGGCGATCGCAATCAAACGATTTAAACCAGACTTATGAATACAGAAAGAGAGTGTGATTAACCTCTCACTACCTTGGTATCAGAATTTTATTACATTAATTAGTCATCTAATTCAGTGATCTCAACTCACTGAACAAATCTTAATCTCATAAACTGTAACCGCTTTTGTTTTTTGAGTTGCTATGTGAACCTACAAGCTAACACTGTTCTGTTAACTAATTTTTTCTGTTTTTTGTCTTACCCCTCCCCCTTATTTTCAACTTTAGCAGTGCACAAATTGATGATGAAATCTTAAACTAAAAATTGTAATGCTTTCATTTTGGATGCATCAATTTTATAGTATCTCTTCTCTACTACCACTCAAACATTAAAGTATGTTATTAACATCTATATAACCATTGTAATTTCAGGTAGTCTGCAGTCAGCTGATGAGAACCTGTGAAATAGAATGACGATATCATTTTATACTGCAAATTTCGTCTTCCTTTCTTCATCGACAAGCTTCTCTAACTGATATCAATCCGTGGTCAAACTCATATAAACAAATCTAATCCTTACAAACCAAACTCTTGAAGATCTATTCATAAAATTTAAAATTATGTTTAGACCTTTCAACTACTATTGTAATTCGTAAAAAAAATTGTATTTGTGAAATCTTAGAGAAATTGAAATGGTTAATTCCAATGTTTCGTTTGGCAGTCTGGTCCAAACTTGTTCAGGGAAATTAATCAGAATTAACATAACATAGGTTTATATACAAAAGGAACATCTCTTGTTTTTGAACACTTTGTCCAATCATGAGTTATGAAGCAGGCATCAACACGTATAATAAACAAAAATTGTATGAACTGTGATCAAAATTTGACTTTAGACTTTCAAAATTAGTCTACTTTTGTTAAAATATGTGTATATGCAGAATACAATGGTGTGTGGGTGAACAGTCATAAAACATTTATTAGCCTCTCCATAAGAAGACGTAGACAATCGGGAATTTGACGAAGTGTGACTAGTTGTTGATACATATCCAATTTTATTTATTAGTCAGGATTTTCCATGCATCAGCTAACATCACACCTTCACGTCTGTTTAAACTGTTGGGATTCACCCATATATGTAGGGCTTCTGCAGTCAGTCTTTCTTTATATGAACCAAAACCTTTCTGTAGGACCCTGGTCTTATCAAAGTCGATTTTGTGTCCCGTTTCTATTGAATGCAGTGCAATCGCTGATTTGTTTTCTAGCTTCTTCAAGTCTGCAGAGGTCTTTTGAACCAACTTTAGACATTGTTTATGCTTTTTCACTCTTATATTTACCTGTCTGGAAGTTTCTCTTACACATATACGGCGTCACAGTCCCCACAACTGATCTGGTATACGCAATTCTGCTGGTTATCTTGTTCTGTTTTATCCTTAACCTTCACCAGTAATGAGCGTAAGGTGTTAGATGCACGAAATTACACTCTTATGTTATGTTCGTTAAGGATTCGCTTTATTTCATCGGATGTTTCTTTGCGGTAAGAAATCACCGCTGTACTAACCCAGATCTTATCAACAGGTTTCGATCCATCCTCCTTATCTTCACATTTTAAATATCTTTTTATGAAGGCTTTAGGATAATTATTTGATTCAAGAGTAGACTGTACCAATTTTAGTTCCTTGCTAATCTCTTCCACCTCAGTAACTGGACGTTTGGCTTTGTTAATCAGGTTCTTGGCCCCAATTACTTTGGTGGTAAATGGGTGAGCTGAATAGTAATCTAGGTATCTGTCCGAATTTGTCGGCTTTCTGAAAATGTTTATTTCAAATTTGCCATCTAGTTTCCTTTTTACTAAATAGTCCAGGAACGCCAGCTCATTCTTATCGGATTCAACCTCTTTGGAAAACTTGATGGTTTCTGACATATTGTTTATTAAATGAAAAAAGTTCATTTAACAAACTACGTTTGATTATGACGAAGGTATCTTCCACGTGTCTTAACCACATTTTTGGAGGACTAAGGCATCTCATAATTGCATTTGTTTCTAATGAGTGCATAAACAGATTAGCGACTAGCGGAGATGTTGGTGATCCCATAGCAATGCCTTCTGTTTGACGGTAAAGAACCTCTATTAATGTAAATAACGTGGAACGAAGATACGATTCTAATGCCTTCAATTTCGCTGAGACTTTACAAATATAATTTTTTTACAAGTGTCTACTTCTCACTCGGATCTCAGTTAGTTTCCAACTATTCGGTCAAATCTTGATCACAGTTCTTATGAATAGTTTTGTAATTATTATAAGTTCCCCCCCCTACACTGTAAATAATGAATTTGACATTTGCACATCACATATTGATGTCGACCCTTATTATTATTATTATCTGTTTTTGTCCTTGTTTAATCTTTAATTGTGATACTTCTCTTTGTGGTTGTGTGTACATTGACAGTATGTTTTTTGTTTAACCATATGAGTTTATTTGAGTAAATGAAGATGATTCTGCCCGGGGACTGACTGTCTGTGGGAACGGAAGCATTCGTGTGTGTGTGTGTAGGTGTGTGTGCGTAATTATTGTGGGCTGTACTTTTGATCGATCCGACCTATTTCGTTGAGAATGTTCTCCTCCTCCTCCTCGATTTTATGGTACTTTTTACAGTAGCTGAACTTTGCTTGACTAATTTTATCTTACAATACTTGTTTCGTATTTAGAAACCTACATTACCTGAATAGCAGTTATCTGATGGCTTTGTTGAAGAAAATTTGAGTTTTGATGCTCTTGCTGAATAGAACCGCTAAAATACTGAAGATGAGTAATCGTTTTTACCCCGTGTTTGAGAAATTTCATGATGTAGTGTGTCTCAAGGAAGTTCTTGTCGACTATAATACAGTAGAAGGTAGAGACAAGTTTCTTGTTCTTTCAGATATACCACCATAATCGAATAAATTTGATCGTTACACACTTTTTGTTTATCAGTGTTATTGCAGTATTGTATTTTTCTGTTTTAGAAATATCAGTCCACTCGATTAGATTCAAGTCATTCCAATGATAAACATAATTAAAGCAATACTAATAATAATAGGCATATCAGTAAATGACAGCATAGCATAATACAATCCTATTTAACTATTATTTACCTTTCTGATTACTTCTTATCATTTTTTCTACAAATTTGAGAAATAATTCACTTGATTGCACAAGACCTTCAAGATCCTTGTAGTTGCACATTTGTTTATATTTAAAGAAAAGACATCAAGGAGAATAAAATGCTAATCAATTTCAAGGTACAAAAACTACTCAATGACATAATAAGTTATATAATTATGATTGTGATACATACATTCTGGTCATTTTTGTTTTTATCTAAGACATATTTAACCGAACAGTGATATTGTGTTTTCAATTAGATCTCATCAGCTGAACTTTCTAATATTTTAACGAGTTGATCATAGATTGATATCAGCTAGAGAAACATTGACAAAACCAGCCACAGGGAGTACTGGACAGATGTTTCATCCTAGTTTGGAAAATCATCGCCAGTACACACCCACCCAACTGCCAGGGTTCGAACCCAGGACTTTCAGGTTACAAGGCAAGTTATCTCGTATACCATTCAGCCACTGCGACCCGATTGTTCAATGGGCAGTGCATGAATTCTAACTTCTATCAATTTTAACCCTAGTGGGTGCATACTGCCGATGATTCCCAAACTAGGATGAAACAGCTGTCCAGTACTCCTTGTGGCTGATTTTCAATGCTTCTCTAACGGTTATCAATCTGTGGTCAAACTCGAAAAACAAATCTAACCCTTACAAACCAAACACAGAAAATTGACTGTAATACATCTACTTAACTTTACAAATTAAAATTTAAATATAAACCAGTCATGGTGTTCTGTCTATAGGATAATAAGATGGTGCATATAAATTGTGCATTTAGTCATAATAATAATAACGGTTCTGTCAACAATAAACATGAAAAAGTCAAGCGATCTGTGACAACACGAATAACGAAAACATCACGATTAAACAAACAAATGTTCTAGTAGACATAACAGTCGATAAAGGCTAAGAAAAACAAATGAACCGATTGCGTAATGCTAGGTTGTAGGTGAAGTAAATGAAACACATTTTTAATGAAGATGTGATAAGATTAAGGGATTCAGATAAGAGAGGGGTTGAAAATATAAGTAAGGGGTGGTGGTGACATCATCAGTTGGTTATATCTTCATAGGCCAACAGGGGAGGGTAATGGCTGTACGAACTACTTTTGAATGCATAGTTTAGGTTTAATAGTTCAAATGCCTATTGCCTCAGCTGTGTGTAGTAGAAGAATACTAAGACTATTGGGAAGATTTGGTGGGATACGATGAATTACTTTGAAAGCTCTTGTTTTCTCCACTACATCACGACTAACAGCTAAATGTGACAAAATTGAACTACGAACTGTTTTTGTCTGTCCTTTGCCAAACCACAATGCGAGATGTACAGTAGTAACATGTTGACTAAGCTGTCTAGAAGTAGTGTGCTCAAAATAACTGTCACCGCAGGTGCAGTTGAACTGATAAATACACATAGATGTAGCAAAACTATCTAGCTTATCCCCCGTTTGTGTCCCAATCACATGCGTAAAGCGTTCTTCGTATACTCCTGGAAAGTCTCTGGAATAAAATTTCACTTTATAAGACACCATTAAATTGTAACTTAATAAATAGAGGTTTTTTATATGCAGTCATAGTCTCAGGTTTTCTCTCTGACGTTTTCATATGTTTCTTTATGAAACTACTCGGACACCCCATCACCGTCAAGGAATCATGAATATATTCAAATTCCTTTTGTAAGAAGTCATCCGTACATATCTTTTTTGCTCTGCTTGCGAGACATTTTACAACATTCCTTTTATATTTAATCGGCACGTAACTAAAGAAGTATGTGTATTGCCCTGTGAATGTGCTTTTTCTATACACGTTTCTCCTAAGTGACCCATCTTCTCTCCTACTTAGCAAGACATCCAGGAAATGTAGTTTACTATCCTACTTTACTATCCTGGGACCTACATCAAACTTGTAGTTTCCCATTCTGGTCCCAGTTGACGGCTAGCCAGTATTGACCCCAATGTCACCTATCGATCTCATCACTGGCATGTGCCCGGTCCCCCTCCATTTTCTCCTACATATTTTTCGGGTAGTCGGTTCTTGGCTGCTTCATTCGCAGAGTTTCTTGTTGCTAATTATTTCTGATCTTCAATACTGAGCAAGAGAGACGTTAGCCGTTGATAAAAGTTCGCAATGGCCTGTTAGCAATGGATTTCTAGAGGCACAGTGCAAGTTTTTGACCCATACCACAGAATTGACTGACTTAAAATTGGTGATGAAAACTGATATCTTGTTCTTTAGACTGAATAAGTGAAGAAGATCTCTAAATGAATTTCAGATTAGTTTGGAATTACACTTAATACTGTATTTATTACAATTCTTTCCTTTCCATATCATGAAATTCTTCATTATGTCACTGCTAATACTATAAATGTCTCTACACTATAACGCTGTTTGACAAAAACCCTATTAGATCAAAAATGGGTACATCTTACTGAGTTATTTAAATTTAAAAACAAAAGAGGTAGTTCAGCGAAGAGTCTCTTTTCCGCAGTGAACTGATTCACTCACCTGTACAATCACAGTTATATATATATATATAATTTTTGTATGTGTGTGTGCACACTAAGTTTGTCAAATAAGAATAAAAATGATTTCTTTCCTTCACGTTACCCAGTGGAACATAGGGCTTCATGCCAGAAGCTTGAAGTTTCTGTAGCAGTGGTGATTATTTTTACAGGATGGGGTTGCTAGCCTCATACCTAGCCTTTCCTCTTCACCGGCTTTACTTCTGACTGAGTGAGGTAAAGGAGTGCGCCGGCCGGGGATCGAACCCCGAACCATGTGCATGGTCGGCAAGCGTCCTAACCGCTATGCCACCGACGCTAAGAATAAAAATAAGTTAGGGTAAGTACGGTCAAAACACTTCAAAAATGTACTGAGTAATCAAATTGTAACTAGGTAGGAGGGGGTAAAGACTGGTAAGAGGGTAGTGGTGATGTGTTGTCAAAAACATAGTTATTAATGTAAAACGATATATAGAAGAAGTTGAATAAGCGTGATACAATTACGTAATGAGATGAATAGTTTAGTGAGTGAGTTGTGATTTGGATTTACGTAGAAACAAAGGAAAATATGGAATTATGTGAGAGTTCTAAAAGTTACAAATGTAATAAAAAGTTTAGATGAGTATCCTGTCCAAAAGGGTTCAAGAACACTATCCCGCATAGCTATAACGAGGTAGTAGTGGCTGTATAAGGAGTGCGATAATCGACCATCTCGTCAACACTAGTCATTTCATCTCACCAAACGCTCCTGCTTCAAAGGGATCTACAAAGTGAAGAACAGCCTACCAAAGGCTATATGTTTTCGACTCCTTTGTATTGCTGAGGCCTTAGCCAATCGTTAAGTTGGAGAAACCAGAGCTATGCATACGAGAGAAAATCATCCAACCACTTCTATTTTCATGTAACAACTCTGTTGATTTCTACTTACTTCATGTTTGTACAATCGCTCGCATATACTGTTGTAAATTTCCTTAGCGATGAAATGAATATCTCCAAAGATGCGTCATTTCTGCCCCCGAAAATCTCTACTTCAATCTACGATTCAAGGGAGACATATCGGAAGAATTACTTCGAAACCGCCTATCCCGCTCACTGAAGAAAACCTTCCTGTTGGCCAAATTTTGAATAACTTTCTCTACGAAACCAATGATTTGCATGAACCTGAAAGATAAGCCAACACTTCTGGCATCGTCGGTGTGCATTTAACAATTCGCCCGATCGTGTAGAAATAGCTACTTCGGCCGGACACAGTATTTGCTATCCAAATGTATCATCGAACATTTACCCACAGTCATGGTTTTATAAAGGAGAAAAAAGATCCTCCTGTCATAGATCTATCCTGGAACACCTGGTCGAATCTGAGCACCAAGCTTACCTACAAACCAAATTCAAGGTTATCTACAGAATACGGAGAATCTCCCTAAAACAGTATGAATTAAACTTCTTCTGTCTGTTTTCGACAGAGAATTTTGCACATATGTGCGGAAGTTCAAGTCGCCACACTCCCTCCATGTAGCACAGAAAGCAAGAGAAGAAAGTAGAAGAAATGCATAATAGAAACAGTAAACAGAGGTGTTAGACCAAGGTATAGTAGTAGCGAAGAACGATATAGTTTTATTGTGATTAAAGCTGAAAATTCCATTCTGTATAACAAGTACTGCTTTCGGAATAAAGTAAATCATTATTACTATTATTGGAAATCATAAATCACAAGGAATGGATGCATCTGTATTAGCCATTGAAAACGATTATGAGCCATATCACCAATCGTTTCCAGCCATTGTTTTTTACCGTCCCGAGGACCCCAGCAAGGAAGTATACACCTTCCTACGTGGCTTAAAGTAACTGTCTTGGATTTCATTGACTAGTGCCATGGTTTGGTTTGACCACCACTAGCTCTTTTCCAGCTGACCCTATGTCAGCTAACATTGCCTGTTGTCGAGGAAGGCGATGACTAGGCATACGTAACACATGTCCTAACCACCTCAGTTTATGTAGCTTCACAGCCTCGTCAATTAATTTCCCCTCCCGCCTACTTAGCACTAGACTGATGCCTCACCTCAATATTGCTCACCTTACTGTACCACTTCACACGGGAGGTAGAGAGCAGGCAACTATGATCAAAGACAACTAATCATTTCATATCTTCCACTCTCAATGGCCACGTCTCACAGCCATAAAGGAGGACAGAGCGGACTGCTTATGACACATGTGTGTGGAAGATCGAATACCAATCTTGATTCTTGATGCACATTGTTTGATACAATCAATAAGTGAATCAAACTTCTTCAAAACACAGAAGCAATAGCAATTCTCATGTCAACTCTTGAATTCTATATACAAAAGAAGTTTGTCCAGTCAGTAAAATCTACAATCGGCCTAATCTATCTTAACACTGGGCCAGTAATTTTTATTTCTGGTTCTTAATTGTATTATTTTATTCCCTCACCTCCTGTTAAATTTCTACCCCTTAATACCATTGTTGTTCACTTGACTTTTGTTCAAATTGTAGGTGAATGCTAGTCAATCACGTCAATTATGTTATGTCACTCTGTTTGCTTATATATAACTTTCTTTTCTTTTTGATTATATCTTGATTCCACACCGTATTTTTGATACAAGTATGGAATTTTCAGCATGGATATCAGTCGCCGAAATTTTGCAAGCCAACCATTGATATCACTTGTGCGTCGGCCGGGAATCGAACCTCAGACCATATGCATGATCAATGAAAGTCCTAACGGCTGAGCTACCGACGAACACACTTAAGTTTTTAACCTATTTACTTAATAAAGATATTCTAGTTACAGAACAATTATTGATAAAAGAGAGAGAGAAAGAGAACAATGCAAAAATAGGATAACATTTGAAGCATACATACATCATTCATCCATAATTCTCTCCAATGCTCTGAAATCTCAGAATAATCATGATATATTTCAATCAAGTATTGTAGCGTTTCCATAGTTTTCATGTTAGTATCGTTCGTCTCTAATGCAAACATTTCTAAAAGATTATCTGGCTATTTAAACAAGATATGAGATAAATAAACAAGATAAAAAGAAATGAAAAATTTATTAATTAAATACAATCATTTCAATGATTCATGAATTAAGAAGAAATTTTAATGATGCATTGTATACTGATTCACTTTGATTATATATCATATGTGAGGAACTCTAAGACGTGGAGGGGAATTATTTTTAATTGATCAATTTTAAACCAGATCAGGAAGTAACACTGGTCAAAACTCCTTGAAAATGATAAAATACTAGACAGATGTCTAATTCTCGGTTTAGAATCTTAAAAAGTACACAGCTATGAACTTGTTGAACTTAGGATGTTCAGATTATGAGGCCAGCTCATTGACCATTTAGCCATTGAGCAGTGTCTAGGAGTTCATGAATTTTAACTTTTTTTGATGTACTACAACGTCCATTAAGAGGTGATTTGGTAACTAATCCGCTACTACTAGGTGCCGCCAACAATTGTACATCTTATCCAATAGTTGTACGACAACGCTGCATGCCAAGTAATCCAAAACGAAAAATTCACGGAATCCTTGGAAGTGAAGATGGAAATAAGACAAGGCTGGTTGGCTGCCTACTATCGCCAATGATTTTTCTGGTTACGGGTGGTAAATTGGATAATGCAACAGACAGAGCCCTTAGAAACGAGGAGACAGGCATAAAATGGACCAACACAAAATACTTGAAGGATCTAGACTTCGCCGATAATATTTGTCTGATTTCTCACTAACTGGAAGATATGCAAGTGAAAAGTAGCAACATGTTGGCAGAAGAAGCATCCAGAGAAGCTAGGCCTTCAGGTGAACATATAGAAAAAAGAGGTGATGATGATTGCTGGCCAACAGCGACAGCAACAACCACAGTGACCAAAACAGACAACAATCAGCATAAATGGGAGAAATCTGAAAGAAGCCACCTCCTTTACCTACCCACCTGCCTGGAGAGGATAGTTTCGGCTATACGTGGACGGAACTGACAAGGATATCAAAGCGTGAGAATCGGGAAAGCAAGACAAGCTTTCATTACTCTCAAGTCTGTGTGGAGATCAGAGGCACTCAGTATGAAAAATAAGATGTGGATTTTCAACTTGAATGTGAAGTCAGTGCTACTGCACGGATCAGAGACTTGGCATGTCGCGAAGGGCTTTTGGAACAAACTACAGACCTTCATCAACAGCTGTCTTCGCTCAATACTAAAGATCAGATGTCCGGCCACAGTAAATCAGGAACAGGGATCTCTGGGAGCGAACCAACCTAGCAAGAACCAATTGTGCAAGAAATATGCAGAAGAAATGAAGATGGATTGGCCACACTCTGAGGAAGCCACCAAGTGACATCACACGTCAGGCCATCGCTCCAGTGGAACCCAAATGGGAAGCGGCTAGTTGGTAGTCCAAGGGTGACATGGAGGAGGTTATTTGAAGAGGAGACGAAAGCATGTGCACAGACGTGGAGCCAGGTGTAAACGTTGGCAGAGAACCGAACGCAATGGAGACTCACTGTTGAAGCTTTATATTCCTCTTTGAACTAAAGGAAATAATAATAATAACAGTAATAATTGATATACGACATAGTGATACAAATTTTCACTGTCACCTATGAGTGCTTGTATTCACAGATTACTAACTTGATGGATACTATTGATCCTGACTGAGTTCAATGTCTCTTGATGACATCATGTTTGCATTCCATTGAAAATTTCCCAAATTAAGACGGTGTTATTCAGTATTCTCTTGTTTTTGATGGTTCTTTAAATGATAGTAGTTCATGAACTACCTTGACGCAGAGATGTTTAAAAAGGAAAACACTTTGAATAAATCAATGAACACTTTTATTGCAAATTACATCACTGTCTAGATGTCTTTGGTTCGAATTCACTTGTGTTCCTAGTTTTCGTCATAACTGGAGAGGCATATGCATTCAGTCTGAAAATAAATCAACTGGAATTTTTCCGGGAAATAAATTTTATTTTCTTGAGTTGATCACGGATTGATATCAGTTAGAGAACCACTATAAAGCCAGCCAGGGAGTACTGGGCAGCTGCTGTTTCATCCTAGTTTGGGAATCATTGCCAGTACGCAGCCATCCAACTGCTGGGGTTCGAACCCACGACCTTCCGGTTACTAGGCCAGTTAGCTGGTATACCATTCAGCCAATGGAACCCGATTCAATCGCCAACGCATGAATTCTAATTTCTTCCATTTCCTGATTTAACGCAACCCCAACCAATGTCGTAGGTGGGACAATGGTTCTTTAACTGATATCAATCCGTGATCAACTCGTAAAAGCAAAACTAATCCTTAAAAACCAACTATAGAAAATAACTTTTATGCTAACAAGTTTATTGAGATGATAAGAGTAGATTTCAAGGCATTTTTATCATTCAGACTAGAACAATTACCAACCTAACCTTATAGTTAGTTACAAAGTCTATTATCACGGCAGAGGATGCTGTTTAAAGATATTCTGACTTGCTCTTATGTTAATAATTCATAATTGATTATAAATCACTTAAAGATTCTAGAAAAAGAATCAGCTATATCAATGCATACTACTAGACAGAGGACCAGTGGAATTCATCCAGATGTCGCGTATGAGGATGGATGTCCCACCTACGACATTAGTTGATGCCGGTCGCGCTAAATCACGAATTGGTAGAAGTTAGAATTCATGCACTGGCCATTGAATCGGGTCCCAGTGGTTGAATGGTATACAAACTAGCTTGCCTTGTAACCGGAAGGTCCTGGGTTCGAACCCCGGCGGTAGGGTGGGTGGGTACTACCGATGATTCCCAAACTAAGATGAAACAGCTGTCCAGTACTCCCTGGTTTTCAATGGTTCTCTAACTGATATCAATCCGTGATCAACTCGTAAAAACAAAACTAACCCTTACAAACCATACTATAGAGGATATAAGATCAATTTCAACAATGTGGAAATTCTAGAAAGAGGCTTTCATTCAACATATGAAGAAAAGCTGATTTATGAAGCCAACCCTGCATATTTTAACCATATCGAATGCAGTAAATGGAGAGAGAAGCGATAGACTTATCACCATCTGTGTGGCAGACTCTAATACAGCAAACCGGATGGGAGGAGATACAGAAAATATTCAGTCCCCTGTAAAAATATTATCATGTTTTGACGTGTTTTCTACATAACAAACGAAATGCACAAGCGCTCATACAGGCAAATACGCGTAAATGACAGTTTTACGTTAGTCATTACAAATATGTGATGACTGTCTGCCAACGTGTGCCCTTCAAAGGCGCCCACTTCGACTTATGTAATCAAAGATTACATATTTTGATGGTTATTAAAATGTGAATATTTCAGTTGAAGAAGAAGCTGTGGCTTACACCATGAAATGCTCAGAAGCAATCTTCTTTTGATTTTTTTCCTAAACATGCTGAAATCTTCTTTAATTCTACTTCATTTCTAGGCAGACGATTTGTGCATAGCCTGTGTTTATTCACTCTCACCTTCATCTGTTGGCTGCTTTCCATTACCTATAAGGAAAGCCTCACATACTGAACACCTTATCCTATAGACGTAGTTGTTTTGTGTCATTTTGCGAAACTCCTAGGCAGACTGTCCTAAGATGAACAGCTTTCTATCAGGAAGTAGCAACTGGTCTTCATCTAATGGCCTTAAACTGAATCCCTCCAAATGTCAGACTGTTAATTTCAGTTTCCGATGTAAAGCAAAGATAAATGAAGCTGTTGGTTCTTATGATGGTTGCAAAATTGATGATATTGCTATAGGAATCAAGTCTGAAGTTATGTATCTTGGATTAATTCTTTCTACTGACCTATCCTGATCTTCCCATGTCTAAGCGATTTAGGAAAGAGCATTTCGCCTGACTTTTTACATTAAGAAGTTAAGGCACTCAGGCATAACTCAACCCCTCCTCTTACAATTTGTCAACTCGTGCATCTAACCTATTCTTCTTTACTGCTCACCCTTATTCTTTCCTGGATTGGTTAAAACAGATTATGTCATACTTCTTGATGACTTTCTGTCTGTAGGGCCAGAGGTATCCCTTTGGGCCATATCGTTAACATTATCATTGATAGGCATTTAGTGTCATGCAACAAATTTGCTAAAGGAATCTTGTCAGACTGTGAGCGTGCACACCAGCACCCCCAGCTCCAACCTTGTATCTTCTCAGGTAAAACAAGAAGTCTTTTCAGAAGACTTTGTGCACGTACGTCTTAGTATAAAAATTACACTATACCATATTTCACGGCACGTACTTTATGTGATGAAAATAATGTTAGACGTCAACTAACTAACTAACTAACCTTCTTTGCACTACTAAATAAACCATTTCCTCCACCCTTACAACATCAAACTTTATTGTTATTGTAATTCTTATATTTATATTCCTCTCAATTTTGTGTTTTTATTAACATTTATTTCTCATAAGTGTGAATATAACTTAAGCTGTGTTATAACTGTTAATTGTGTATTTCCCATCACCATACTATATCAACAGAACATAGGATTCAATGCTCTATGACATGCTAAAACTTCCCAACTGAATTGACAGTTCTGTTTGAAACAAACTCATTTTTATTAATATAATATTTATTTCCCTCATTTCGTACTTCAAATATTTTTGACTTTATAACGTAAACGAGGAGAAATACCTCTGGTTAATTTTTGTTTTAATTTTTAATTTTATTTATATTTTGAGTAAATCAGATGCAATATTGTGAGAAATGCTGAGAATTCTATTCTGTATTATAAGTACTCTCTGTTTTGGAATAAACTAGATTATTATTATTATTATCTCTGACTTTTAATCACTAAAGCTTTCTCTTAAGAATTATAGAGCTTGAAATGAACTTTAATATTATATGAAGTAAGTAATCTTTGAAGTTGTTCAGCTGTCTGCTTTCTATGTATCGAATGACACTTAAACACACTGTTTTAAATGATTTATAATGAATCAAGCTGACTTAGTGCTCAAATTATTCTAGGAAATTGGT